TCGATTTTTGGTTCAGGACTCAATTTTAAGGAGGTGGTATTCATCAACATTGCATGGTTCTTTAATGCTACTATATTGGTAATGTATATGTACACGTTTGACAATTAAACCATACAGGGTGATTATGAATGAACTAGTGATTTTCTTCGGGGGAACTTAAGCGAATTTGATTTCTGTTTTTAATTTGTTTTCAATTATTATACAATCACTTAGATTTTATTTTAACGCTATTTAAATTTTTTATTCCGTATACCTGACATGAGTATATACACTTTCGCCTTTCAAATAGAAACCCTTTTCAAACATATTTAAACATTTTACAATAATATCGGATTAACTATTTATGAGTTACGACAGTTTAAAATTTAGGCCAGAAGAGTAGGGAAGTTATTAAACAAAATATTAATTTTATTATATAATAAAATGATAATCATTTCCTACTTCATTGGGATAAAATTTAAACTATTATAAATTATAAACAGAGAATCAAATATTAGTGCAATGCATACAAAAATGTTCTCAATTCGAATCTATGTTTAAAAGAGGGAAAAAGTCTTGTTTGAAAAGAAAAGTATGTGCCTACCTTATAGGGATATTTGAAAAGAAGAATAAAAATGAAAATAAAGCTTAAACGATTTTGTAACGATTAAAAAAAAAAATAAAGAAATTGGATTCACATAAAATCCTCCAATGAAATAACTAGTTCATAGATCACTTCGTATAATATTATGCATTTTGTAAAATTAAACTACTATTATCCCTTAATTTATCAAAATATTTCAATAATGAAATGACTACCAAGTGCTAACGAAAATAATAAATTATTATTACAATAAATTGCATGTCAATTTAGTTTTTGATAGTTATTTTATACATATGTTTTGTTTTCTGTTCTTTCTATTTAGACATATCTAACATTCGTGCTAATCGTGTACGATAAAAAGGATTCCATCGATTTAAGCCAGCATTATTCTACTATCACCGTGTTCTCTGTATTTTCAAGAGCCCAAATAGGATCATTTCTAATGTGGTGGTTCGGTCCCAAATTGTTGTCTTAGAACTAACCATAAATAAGTGGATAAATATTATGTAGAATTAAAGTTATCATTTTTAATTCATTAAATGTAAACTAAGTAATTATTTATGTTTATAAAAATGATAAATGATAATATAACATTTTTATCTGGTATAAGTAATACATTATTTATTACATTTTAAGATTATAACTTGACCAAAGACAAAATAAGTTTTGAAAACGAGTTTAACACTTAAATTAATATCATACACAAATGTCAATATCAAATTGTATTTTAACCAAAACTTCATAGAAATTCATAGAAATTCATAGAAATAACAATATGATAATCATTATTTGAAAACCAAAATTTAGTAGTGGTATAACCACTAAACATAAGACTGAACAAAAAGAGGACAATTTATAACTGCATATTAAATTTACCAAAAAGAGAATCTATAAAAAAAAGTTCACATTTTCGCGATAATGGGATTGTAGGTTTCTTGTAGAAATCGATCACTCCGTATTTATAATAAATGATACTAATAATTTATAATCTGGTTTTAGACTTTAGAATTATCTAATCAACTGCAGTTAACTGGAAATAATTGGTCATATCTATTTGATGTGATTATGTTTGTGTTTACCAATTATAGTATAAATATATTAGGTATATTTACGTCAATATTCTTCCTCGGTAAGTTAATAAATGTATTGAATAAATTATTATAAAATAATGACATATTATTTATTATATTATTATAAATAATATTAATAATAATAACATATTATTAATAATAACATATTATAAAATAATGGAAAACAATTACCTAATATTGGTAAATAGTAAGTAATAGTAATATTATCTTCTATAGTACTGTTATTAGGAATACAATTGTTTATTCAAAATCATCTGTGATACATACATTTAAGCAACATGCTAAAATCACACAAGTATACCTTACGAGTACAGGTACTTATCTTGATATTTTTTTCTAAAATAAATAAGAATAGCAATTTAAATAGAAAAAAAATTGGTCTTTAAAACAATATATATGTTTTTAAAAAATAATAATAAATGTAATAATGTACTTGATAGTATATTTTTGTTCATGTTAAACTTTAGGCTGTATCGAAAAGTCATGAAATTTGATATTGTTTATATTATCGTTGACTCCAAAAACCGCATACTTATGATCAAATTCAGGGCAAAACCATACATTTTGGTATGTTTAAACCACACATTTAGTAGGTTAAAACCGCACACTTTTTAAAATTGTTGTATTTAGATACCACACATTCCATAATGATGTATAATCGGTTATTTATTATTTATATATTTATTAAACACAGATTTTTTAAATGCAATTAATATATTGAAAAATGTATTAGATATGAAACCACTAAAACACTAATAACCATATGCATATCAAGTTACATTAACACGTGTTTCAGTCGATAATTATACTGAAAATATACTTAGTTTAAATAAGTTTAGATTATAAGTAATAATATACAGTTTAATTTGTGTGTAACAAATTATTTTAAAATTATAAATACAACGTGCAACCACTAAAAGTTTGCTGTATAATATACTTAACTGGCAACCGAAAAGTGTGTAGTTTTTGTCTATTGACATTTTTGAAGTTGAAATCATATTTTGCGAATTTTGGATGCAATCTATATTATTATCGTAACCAGAAAAAGGTTTTCAAGGGTGGTGGCACTTCATTTTTTATTTAGTTTTTTTAAGCCAGAATACTTATGGCCTGATATTTTATAATCCCCTTATAGACAATAAGACATATAACTTCTTATTTATACACCTTAAAATTATAAGGTAAAGTTAAAACACAATTTGTGGCCTTGTTAGAGAATATAATATGAATGAAAGATGTGTATTATTTTTCTATTTTTTTTTATGTGCCTGTAAAAGACTTTTCAAACAAAAATAATGTTCTATGTATAGAATATAGTAATTTTTTTGAAATTAAATTTTGTCTAATTAATGTTTTATACAAATAAAATAACATTAATAAATAACAGGATAAACAGCTGTTGGCTGATAATGATAAGATCTGAACAAAAACCTAAATAGTGACTCTATACAAAGATCACGTTGTCAGTAATTTATTGAGATATTTAACGCTAAACACTACCTTTAGCTGTTGATATTTCGATGACAATTCGATGGACTAGTCCCATTTATACACAAAGTATATATTCAAGGTGGATAAATAAAAATCCGGTAATAATTCAATTTTGTCAGAAATTGAATGTGCTCCATTTCTGCACTAAGTGTTTCATATATTCTACATGCTAATATAACAACTTTATGTAAACTACACTACAGCATTACGGGGAAAAAAGGTTTCTGTGGAGGGAAGGTGGTGGTAGTACGCATGTCCCCAGTGTATTGTTATTATTATCGTTATCATTAATAATTGTTAAAATAAATCTATAATCATGTGAACTGTGAAGTTACATATGAATACAATATCTGTGTCAAAAGTAAAACCAGATGTCTTTAAACAAATACAATTATTTACATTGCATGTCTATTGTCTGACAATGCCACATAATAAAATGCATGAAATAGTATAACTTTATCGCTTAATTTTACCTACATACGATTCGTTTATGACTTAAGTAAACCTAGTAAAAATAGTTATAATTTTAAAATGAATAAATTTAACATAAATTTAATAATCTTTACTTTAGTGGGCATTATAACTTTTAAAAATATACACGCTAGTAAGTCTTGTTTAATTTTAGTGCTGATATGGTATGGTTAAATGCATAAAATCAATAATCATGCAGATAGATACATTTAAACTTGAATGAAATTGTATTTATTAACTTATCTATAAAAAATTAACATGATATATGAATATCCAATATTCTTAATAATAATAATATTCTTATTAATAATGATAATAGAATAATAAGACTAATAAGAAATTAAGTTTTTTAAGATAGGTTTTAGTTTTTTTCTTTTTTAATGACACTACGAATAAATACAGTAAATTAATAAAAATGTATAATTTGTATTTAATTTAACCTAATAACATTATTTTTCAAATTCTAGATACATGTTCTGGTAAGTTCATACTACACAATTTATACAATATATGAAATTAGCTGTAGGCATTATCCATTCCAATTTTTTATTATTTTTACCTTTATTCCTGTTTGCTCTGCTCGTATCAGTATATTAAACGAAAAAAAATAGATGGAAATTAAGTAGACTAACCGTGATCTATTATATCATACATTTTTTCATCCGAGTTACCATAGATACCCGCACAAGACAGGGATTAAACTACATAAAACATAGTTTTGTTATAATACGTGTTTAATGGTTTTGTATTAATGCTACATAGGGAACCATAAAAGGGGTTGTGGTGATGAACGACCCCGAGGTAAAGTGAGGGTTATTAAAAATATAGGGACACTACTTATTTTAAAATAGCTAAAGTACCCCTACTAATTTTTCCCCAAATAGAGCACTGAACATTATAATCATAGTACTGTAGTATTATTACACAAAGATTTAAAGACGAAGATTTTCGTGTTTTCACTAATCCATCCAGTACGTTGCATAATTTTTTTTGTTTTTTTTTTTTCATCCATTTTACCAACGTAGCCCATCCTATTTTAAGGCAATAATGAACTGGCAGACGGGGAGCGTCACAGTAATATTTGCCATCTCTGTCTATCTAACAAGTTATATATCAAAAATATATTTTACTGTTTTCGTATGTACTTTTAATAATAATAATAATACTCAATATCCAATAAAAGTATGAAAACATATTTTTGCTTATTGAAAGTTAATTAGACATACACAGAAAATTTTTAAGGTATTAGGATTTAATTTTAGTGTTAAGAGGCCGTCCTTCAAACACTATATCTAATCCACTAGTCAACCCCATAGAAAAATAATACAAATTATATAAATATTTGTTTATAACAATAAATTACAGAGTCTATTATTTCAGCATTAGACGGTAAGATTTTAATATAAAACATAAATTTACAATGTAATTAGTTCATGTAAAACAAATGTATTATTTATAAAAACTCTAACTTTTCCATTCTTCCGGAAATGTTTATTAATTTTGATCTCTATCCTTTATGAAGCATAGATACATAAATCAAAATATGTTTTTTTTTAAATTAACAATTTTTTCTTATGTATTATTCAAATAGGTTGGACAAAACCTGAGAATTGTTTAGTATATGCATATATTTATTTTTGTAAGTAGAAAAACTACCTACCTATAAACAATAATTTCAATGGTAAACACAAATTTTGATAGTAAATATACTTATGCAATTATTTAATTATTTATTTTTGTATAGTCATTATTATTGTATTTAAAATACGTATTTGAGTTTCTACCTTATAAGTACAAATACTTATTATCGTATTACAGATATTTTTTGAAAAATATTTCAAATATCGTGATTTTCATAGACGTAATTTATTAAAATATGTATTTGAATACTAAAAAATGTCATAAATTTGTCAGTTCTCATTTTTTTGAAAAAAAAAAAAAAAAGCAAAAACAGGAAAATGTACGAAATATAGGTGTTGTTGAGAAATATTTCGGCATTTTTTTTTTCTCATGATAAACTTTTCTACAGGCATTTTTCTCCAATTTTTCGATCATTGTTTGATTTTCCCAGGAATATTCTCAACAAATATGAAAAACCGGGAAAAACAGGGGAAAACCGTACTTTAATAGGACATATATATTGTTAGCGAAGCACCACTTCAACCCGCTCAGAATTGATTTTTCGTTAGCAATGGTTTATCGTTGCTTACAGGTATACATTAAATTACCTATAATAGTGACTACACCCATCTCAATTATCGTGGGATAGCTTTTTTATTTTGTTACCTACGCACGTGGAACGTCAATTTTTAAAAATGAATAAATCTTCACAACCCAATTTATCATCTTGAATTTCTACTGAACCAAAATCAAAAAACGAAAAATTGATATCATAACAATTTTAAGTTCTAATTATCACAGAGAAGTTAATGGACAGTGCAATAAGTTAGTAACGTTTTACTCTGTCAGTATGCTTGATGTTAGAAAATGTGTAAATATTAGTATTAGTGATTTGAGTATCAAAGAACAATTATTAAACAACTTTTGGTGAATCAAATTTTGATTTTTTTTTTATATTACTCACAAAGATGAGGACTACAATTTTTTTTTTTTATTATTATTATTTCGGAAATTTTTAAGACAGCCATTCTATAGAGTTTATTTTTCTGTAAACTTTAATGTATCACACATTTATATCCAATACATAGTTTCTATGTTTCAGCCATTTTAAATTCTAACGTGAAAACCAATGTTATCTAGTGAATAACATAATCACGTTACGCGATAATGCGTAAATAATTAATGGTTTATAATAATAATTAGCAAATTATAGTTTTAATTTTATTATATTTTAGCAGTCGATATTCCTGAAAAATCTACGGAATATAATGCTGTTTATTCAGGTTAGTATATTATTTTATTATATATTTTGAAAAAATAATATTTAATCTTATCTAAATCAATATACTAAGTCATTATTCATTCGTATATTCTGTATATAATGTTTTTAAATGTTTTTTAGTGCTTAAATATTTAACTTGTATACTGAAGTACAATAAATTATGATTAAAGTAGAAATATAAGGTAATGTAGTTACCGAAATTTAAAAAAAAAAATGTCATGTTCATAATTTAAATTATAATTTTATAATTTCATATTTTATTGAGCTTATTAGGGTTTTAAAGTTTACCATCAAAAAACTTATTTATACTCTGCCCCTCATCTCCAAAAAAAAATCTTTTGCTGACTACAACCTTGCAGCCCATTTAATTTAATGCAATAATCCGTCTTGAAATTGGTTTTAAAAACTTGATTGAAATTATACATAACACAGCAAGAGTATGTTATGCGTAAATAATTAATGATATTTAGTAATAATTAGCAAATTATAGTTTTAATTTTATTATATTTCAGTAGTCGATATTCCTGAAAAATCTACGGAATCTAATGCTGTTTATTCAGGTTAGTATATTATTTTATTATATATTTTAAAAAAAATAATGTTTCACGGTTATTTAATCTTATCTGAATCAATATACTAAGTCATTATTCATTTATATATTCTGTATATAATGTTTTTAAATGTATTTTAGTGCTTAAATATTTAACTTGTATACTGAAGTACAATAAATTATGATTAAAGTAGAAATAAAAGGTAATGTAATTACCGAAATTAAAAATAAAAATGCCATGTTCATAATTTAAATTATAATTTTATAATTTCATATTTTATTGAGCTTATTAAGGTTTTAAAGTTTACCATCAAAAAACTTATTTATACTCTGCCCCCCATCTCCAAAAAAAAAAATCTTTTGCTAGCTACAGCCTTACAGCCCATTTAATTTAATGCAATAAACCATCTAGAAATTAGATTTAAAAACTCGATTGAAATAATATATAACACAGCAAGAGTATATTATGCGTAAATAATTATAGGTTTTAAACCAATAATTAGAAGATTACAGTTTCAATTGTATTATGTTTCAGCAGTCGATGACGAAATTGCGAAGAAATCTGATAGTCTTATTATTACAGGTTAATGTATATTTTGAGAAAAAATGTTTCAATGTTATTTAACTTTATCTATTCAATACATTAAGTTATTATTCATTCATATGTGTATATATTCAATAATGTTATTATTAATTATACAATATGCATGTTATATTTTTAATTAGTTTTATCAAAAGCCAGACAAAATATCTTCAAAGATTCGAGTAAGTAATAAAAATAATAAAAATAGTTAAATTATATATTTATGAAATTAAATATTAGATTTTGAACGAAGCGGAGAATTTATTTATTTTGCAAATCTGTGTCATATTTTTTTTTAATATCTAATGATACTTATTTATTACTAAATAACTTTCCAAGTAGAATAATTCAAATTTTATTTTATAGCGAACGATAATAAAACGAGTAAGTTAATTATCCCCTAAAGCCCTAACATAAAAATGTAATTTAAATAGCCTATCCATTTCTTTATTATCTATTCTGGAACTAAACCGTCAATCGTGTAATTAAAGTGTGATTTGTAAATTGATATTTGAACCAACAACCCGCCCAGTTTGTTGACCATTGTTAAATTATATAAATATACAAAATAAAACTTGACATATTAATATAATATCTAATATGTAATTTAAATAAAATAATATGTATATTGAAAATATTTTTTTTAGATTTTCCGAAAATGTATATTGATTATTTATATAGCAATGTCAACACAGGTATGTGACTTCATTATTCAAAAACAAAAATGTTAAATGATTATAAACAAATTCAATAATTTAAGTTTAACTATACATTATTATTTATGGCATTTGTTATTTGTAATGCAATTGCTCAGTACTCAAATTGAGGGGGGGACACAGAGGGACAGAGTACCTCAAATAATTTTTCAGAAATGTAAGCGTACCTTTGCTATTTGTTTTAAGTGAAACGCATAGAACGCAGTGGAAGATATAAGGTACTATGTCTGGAAAGAGCTGTATATAAGAGACTATACCTATAAAAGTATTCAGTGAATTTTTTGGCCTCTACGATTATTTTTCATTGAATAAACAAATTAGAATAAAACAGAAGTTATAAATGTAACAGTTACACGTTTTCCCAACGTTTTTTTCTAGGAGTTTCCTTATAATAAGAATACTATAAAGAAAATCAAAAAAAAAACCTCCTTATTGCACTAACCGAACAACAATTTTTACTAGAAACCATCACCTCTAAAGTTGATAATTAGAGCAAGATTTCTTGTAGAATAGTTGTTCACATACAGAAAAAGAACAAACACATCATCATAATAGAAATATAGAGTAGTTACCAACATATTGGAATCTAAAATAAATAATATCTACTATAGTAGGAAATAGGTACTATGTAAACAAAGTTAGCCTACAGTAAGTAGTGTCTGTTTTCGGAAATTATGAATTACTGAATTATGTTTGGAATCGGTGTGGGAGATGTGGAGGGCTAAGCCTCCCACGGGTTAAGTTGAGTTCAATAATTGCAAGGGAAGGTAATTATTTTATGTCTTATGACTATAAGTCCCTCTTCTTGTATTTTATCAATTGGATTACTGATAATAATAATAAAAATATGTTTAATCAAAAATTCGTAACAAAGAAAAAAAACGAACATTTCATTTTAATGACAGAAAAAGTACCATCACCAGCTGAATTTTGTACAAAATTATCACGTGAGTAATAATGCAAAACAATGTTTAAAATTGACAATATCCGTCTCTACACACAATTTACATAAAAAAAAACAATAAAGATTTATTTTATTATTAGTAATATTATTTTATTGTTTTATAACATAGTACACAGAGCACACGCAAGTATTGTGTATACAGACTGTAAGATTTAAATTAATAAAATATAACTAATATTTATTATCATTTACTCAACAAATGGTAAAAATTCAGTGTCGACCTGGACATGGTCGTTAGGACGTAAACGTTGCCGTGATCTCTAGTTGTATTGACGTCTGGGAGCATCTCAGGCCCAGAGATTTGTAAAATAATGTCACTCTTTTGTGTACAGATAAAATATACAGAGTATTGTTTAGGTTTTAATTGACTATTGTAGACTGTAGTCAAATTATATATACCAGTAAATTTATACATAAAATTTGAATGCCATTGAAAATCATATTTATAAATAAAACAATGTAATAATGTGAATAAGGGGGTACAAAGAAACTGAATGTATACCAACTAATCACTTAGATTACTTATTACAGCCTACGACGGTAGGAAACAATTGATATAAAATATAAACTATGAAGGGTGACTATAATGTACTTACCTATCCTGAACGGAGTATCCTCAACAACAATGTTGATTTTGAATACAGATGTAATTATATTTATTTATTATGTTGGTGAGAATAGGTAGTAGAAATGATAAAATAAACACTTGATTTAGTTAAAAATGATGATGTCGGAATATTAGAAGCCGGAACAACACGCATTCGCGGGAAGGCGAAAAAGATGACCAGTCGCCAAGGCAGGATCCGGTGGCCGAATGAATAGAAGAGTCTTTTATGAGAAAGAAGGGGGAAAAGAGTAGAGTGGTGTCATTCGGTTCTCATTATCATGTCTTATTATTATGTTGAAATATTTAATTGTTATATATACTATTTTGCATTAATCTAAATTAACTTATAAACTGATAAAATAAAGTGGTGTCCACTATAATAAAATGTAGTGTAGATAATATTAATATTATATAATATTATATTATGATATAACTAGTTGATCAATATAAAAATTATGATACATACCATATTGTATATATCTTTATAACAATATAACGTTCTATAAATAAAGCTATAAATAAATATGGCTAGTATAATGGTAGTTATATATTGTCTACCCACGTCACCGCGAAATTAAATAGTATTTTTTCGAAATATTACCTACTGATGGAGCGACGGACACAAATTTCAGAACGGGAGACTATAATTTGTCCGAAAATATTCGCGATGATCTTCAAGGTTATGGCTTAATTCATGGGGCATTAAACCTACTTAAAAAAAATTCCCAGTAGGTCACATTTAGCGTGCCAGGGCGACACTGGGTATAATTGTTCAGTTTTATTAAAATTAATATATTTCTGTTCTTATGCATATAGTTTGTAAAAGTAAGTGCATTCAAAATGTAATTTATTATCTATTTTACATTTTCAAAAAAAATAAATATACCTATATACATTTGTTATATATTACATTTATATAACATTATTTATTAAATCAAATTTATAATTTGAATGTCCCCAATTAATATTAGAAACACTTAACGAAAGAGGATTTAACCGTAAGTATTTTATTTTCAAAATCTATGTAAAACAATCATGTTGTGTAATGAATATCGGATATAATAAAATATATAACCTATACAATTAGATATTTTATCAAATATTTATATGGACTTAAAAGATTGTAAATACGCTTTTTAGAAAAGTGGGGTGTTCAAGCTTTTGAATTTGCACTGTATCATTGGGGTACGTAAAATATTAATAATCAATATTAAAAAATAATAATTTATTTTTTAAAAATTTTAATTTACAATTTTGGATTCTAAAAGTATAGCGAAATATACTGGTTTAACTAAGATGTATGTGTTTATTTTTCTGTCTGTAAACAACTTTTAGAGAAGTAAGAAAATCTTATTTTCCAACCAATTTTCATAATAATTGTGAAAATGTGTAAAAAAAACTTAGGAAATATGGTAAAATGTAGAATAATAATGCTTTTATTATTTTCAATTTTGTTTTTAATTTAGTTCAGTATATTTAATACCAGTTATATTTATAGTACACTATATTGCTATATTTTTAATATATCAACTTGATATTTTGACAAAACACCGATATTTGCTTTATCTAGACATAGTAAAATGTTCAAAATATTTGATCCATTTTTGAGATAATAATAGACATTTTAATTTTGCAAGTCCTGTACGTAATTTTTTTCGGTAGGTACTCTGTAGATAAAATTATGAGACTAAACAGAAATGCTTGAAAATTTAACAAGAAGTTCCCTAAATTTCGTACTCTGTGGTAAAAAATTTGAGCATTATGTATTATTTTTTTTTTTATATAAAGGAATTGGTATATCTAATTTCGACGAAAATCGTAAATATACAGCCTTTCAAAACATGTATAAATGAACTTCGCTCCGGTTTATCGTTGATTACAGGTATAAATTAAATAACTTTATGTATACCATCTTTCCAACTATCCACTTACAACATTGGCCGCACCCGTTCCCAATATCAGTTCTTTTTTTGTTATACACTCAAAATGACTTAATTAAAAAAAATTTTATTTCGAAAATTAAACCACTAATTTTATCGAGAAATTTTATACAGTTTCAAAAAAAATTGTACATGTTCCGACTGATTTTTGGCCACTTTACGATATGTGGTTTCATAGTGTAAACTACGGTAAAGTAGGAGCAAGTAATATGAATTATTATTATCCGAATAAATAAAATAATATTCATCGGATTATTGTTACTGTAATTTTATTATTTTCGCTGGCGCAAAAACTGTGATTTGTTGGAGAGCTTTGTAATTTTTTTAAAATCGATTTTATTTATATTTGAAATTTGAACTTTTTCATGAACGATCATAATAAATCAGTAAAAAAAAATTAAAATCACAAATTTTGTTCTAGTGTTTAGTTTGGTCCCAAAACCATATTTCTACAGTAGATTTTTGTTTCTACCTCTTCATAGTTAGTAATTTATTATATATATAGTAGATAAGATAACCCAATAGCTAATGATAGTGATACAATAAATAATAACTATATAAATATATAAATCAATACATTTATATTATAACCATAATACCATATGTCAAATAAAGGATAACATTTGTTTATGGTCCTATGATAAATTATACATAATTTTAATTGTAGATTCTAAATAGAGCGAAGAAGCTTATGGTTTTACAATTGTTTTATCTGTGGACAACTTTTATACCAAATATCTTGATCCGATGTATACGATGCAGCAACTTTTCCAAAAAAAAATTTTGTTTGGAAGGTATTTTAAAGGGGTCATTTTTTCGATTTTCTCTAGAGTTTTCCAAGCAAATGTGCAAAATTGGGAAAAAACATAAGAATATCAGTACAATAATAAAAAAATATTATTAAAGAAAATGCCTATTTAATTATTTTACCACAATATGACATAAATATTGTTGACAAAGCATCACTATCAACTGAACTCCGCTCAGAATCGTTTTTCGTTAGCAATGATCTATCGTTGCTTACGTGCAGAACATATACCTAAAAGTTCACAAAAAAATTAAAGTCCAAGGGGGGCGAACCCCCCTAAAAACTGCTACTGTCTAGACGTAGTTGGTAATTTTGTAAAATGTTCGCACTTTTACATTTAATAAAACAACTTATTTAAATTGCGTTACAAATTATTTTAATTTAATTTATAGTATACAATTCAAAACATGATGATAAATACAGTAAGTAAATTATTTTCTCGGTTTTAATAATAAATATGCAAGCCCAGTGTAAATTATTCTTTACTTGTTCGTATAATTTTATCTTGTTACGCCATATTAGGGAAGATGTAGTACCTAATTTAAGCTTAGGAGATTTAAATTTATCCTGTGTTTTTCAGAAAATGCAGAGCAATCAAAAATAAAATTTAAATCCAAGCGCGGGCTTGTGGTATAATTAAAAAAGACAATGATTGCTTTATAACTGCAGAAGAAATTATTATAGTCGAATAATTTCGGAGCCGTTTCGATAAACTGTTGAATACTTACGTTAGTAGCAACTCTCGGTAAGGTTTAATGACCACACCACTTACTGTTTTGGGTAACCAGAACTACCACAACCAGAATACGAAGAAATAGCACATATCATTAAATATTTAAAAAACAACAAGACTTCTGGAGAAGATAATATCAATGCTGAACCGGCTAAATTATAGCACAAAAATAAGTATCTAGAATATGGCTATTGATCAAAGAAATATGAAATAAGGGGAAAATCCCCAGTGTTTGGAAAATCGTTATCATATAAAAATGAAAACCCGATGATTACAACTAACTATAGAGGAATTTCACTATTAGACACCTGTTATAAAGTTTTGACGATAACAATATTACGAACGTTGAAAGTCTTTACTAACGAAATAATTAGTGACTACCACAGTGATTTTCTGAGTTTTTTACCACTTATTTAATCTTCATTGTTAGGCAACTCAAGTATGGTAGAGAATTGTATCTATACTTTGTAGACTTTCAGCACGAAAGCACTAGAAGAGAAAAACTATGGACAGTATTGGAAGAATAAAGCATACTAGCCTAGTTCACTGATTAGACAATGTAACATGAAACGAACTAAAAGTAAAATTTGCGAGAGAATTTTCTGTGTATGAAGAGCAACCTTAACGCGGCGGTACACAGTGGTCTGAAATGAATATTTAGCTTAGATAAAATTAATTCCTCTTAAATTTGACTTCAAAAATTCATACAATAAATCAATTCTAGATTTATAAAAATTCTAAAATTTATGAATACGCGGAATCAAAATTTTTGGTCAGTTTTGAAGTTAGCCCCTTTAATTAGGGGTTAAAGAAGGGGATGTTTTTTAAGTTTCATAAAACTTACATATTTCACATCAAAGTATATGTTTAGAAGGATGCTGAAACCAAATTTGGTATCAATTTTGAAATTTTCAACTCCTAATTAGGAATATTAAATGCAGAGCCTATACTTGACGGTTGAATAAGTGTAGGTAGTATACATTTAAGAATCCATTTTGAATTTAATAACTTATAAAATATACTTTTTATTATTCTGAATCATTATCATATATTCGAATAATATTAAGAATCGGAATCAGTATTAGAATCGGCTGTTGGTTATAATTCCCGCTAAAATTCGTAAGTGGAATTTCCGGGAGACGCGACACCAACTTGGCGGATCGGGACTCTTCTCCCGATTTATGGTCATGGTCGCCAAACCGCGGCTGCCGCCTTTGCGGTGTTCGCCATGTTAAACGCCTGGACCGGCAGGTCTGGAGTGTAATCACCGAGCGGGTCTAATAGATCGCTCAGCACCGCGTCGTCTTCCAACTGAAATTGGGACCGAAACCCATCTAATGTGTTAACGCCTTGCATAATACTTTCGATGAGACCGGCATCTGATCCGACGCATAGTGCTAACGTATATGTGGCCCGGATTCGGGCGATGACAACGAAATGCTTCATTGTTGCACTGACAACGGCCCGCTGGATACGATCGACTTCCTGTGGCGACCTGGTATTGGCCATGCTGGACAATGGTAATGCGCCTAAAAGGAACGTCTATAAATGGAACACGAGCCAATCACTATTAGCTTACACACCAGCCTAATCAAATGTATATACGAACGTATTGGGATTTCCATCGCCTTTAAAATAATAGTTTGTAAACCTGTACAACTGTGCATCTAAGCCCTTCTACTTTATCAGGTTTATCATTCTCTATCACTTAGATAAAAATTTTACTAAGAAAAATTAAATATAGTAATCCAAAATATTCCATTCTATAAAATATAGGTGAAGTATGGACATATTTTTTCCATATGATATCTGTCGTTGTTTTCGGTATGTATCTATATTATTGATATATTGATATTATTGATAAATGTAATAAAATCGCCACATTCCAGTAAAATATATAATAATATTATAATGTATGTATAACCTAATATAAATATAATGAATGTGATTACGGGTTCATGGGCATATAATGGAGGAAACCAGATTGCTTAAACGGTCTGTTTTTCAATATTTTCATCTTATACTTTAAAATATGTTTTTAAAAAGGTAAATAATTACATAACTCATTTTTACTAACTTTTATATTTCATTTTTTAAACTCATAATGAATGAAAAATAAGAGTTCAATGAGATCTGTAAGATAGTTTTGCTTATCAATTAAAAAAAGGACATACATCGCACGGGGTTAGACCACTGTTTTTGGTGAGAAGTTAGGAAGATTTAATGTATATTTCTATATGAAACAATTAACCGTTTCTAACGAAAAACTATTCTGAGCGGAGTTCAGTTGATAGTCTTGCTTTGTCAACAATATATATATCATATTATGGTAGAATAATTACATATTTTCTTTAATAATATTTGTTTAATATTGTATCTAATTTCCCGTTTTTTCTACGTTATTCCTGATTTTACCCAATTTTTTTCCTATTTATTGGGAAACTCATAAGAAAAATAATGTTAAAAAAAATCAAAGTCAAAAAAATTACCCCTTTAAAGTACCATCCCAATCAGATTTCCTTACAGAAAAAAATCTACACTTGTAAATCGAAGCTTCCTGAAGAAGTTTTCTGATTCAAAAGTTGTTTACAGATAAACAAAAAAAAAAACATCTTTATAAAACCAATGCATTCCTCGTTCCGCTCAGAATCTGAAATGGTAGGAAAATATTATGTTGACAATAAATTAAGTATTCCACCGTAAAGTGATTTTTGTTAGTAAAAACGGTCATACCACTTCCCTAAATGGGTATCAGATAGTAAATTATTAGAAAAGACACAGACTATTCTTAAAATAGCCATTTAAATATTAAAAATTATTTTAGAATGTTTCATAATCGTGGAAAATTTGGAAAACCAGCTACGTGACACTTAATATTAGAGAAATAGTGTTAAATAGTAATAATTCCAGATTCACGTGTGAATAATATAAAAGGAATATAATCTATTACTTTATCAACAATTGTGATAGTTGTTTAAATAATATACATATATAAATAATTGTATAAAACGAAAGTTTTATAAGTTTAAAACTAAAATCTAAAAACACAAATCTAAATTAATGTCCTGTTTTTATTAGATTTAAACCAGAGATTAGCTTCACCTTCAGAATGGTGTGGAGGTTAGTTTTTTATATAAATAAAATATTTAATTAAATTTTATTTTAGAAAAACAACGGATTTCTTATCTATATTTTAATTATTTTATTTTATTTTTACTAAACAAGTGATCGATTTATTTAAATTCAAATGTACATGTTTGATATATTCTGCTCTGAAATTTTTAAATTTACCTAACCTACCTACTCAAAAAATGTGATTTAATTAAATATTTAACATAAATAAATTAAGAAAAATATTATTTCATAGATAACAAAATGAAAAACATTCGTCCAACATCTATTGAATTTTGCCAAGGTAAGTTTATATAATATAATAGATAAATACATCACACGTCTGAAAAATTTAGTAGTGCCTATACTTCCTAATGTGAACACTCTACAAGCTGTCCTACAAAGCAGGGCCTAAAAAACTGTGTCCCCTGAATTAAAAATGTGTGTCCGAAATTTAAGAACGTATTTTAGTTTTTATTGTATAAATAATAAACATATTTTAATTTGAACACAAATGTATTACAATTTTTTATTTTAATATAAATTTATAACAATTTCCTCGTTGTTTATTTTATATAAATACCATAAACTTTAACCACGATCACGGTTATAGATATAATATATACATGAACTTGTTGTATTTAGGTATTTTGTATGGCGTAAATGCAGTTCCCAAATTTCCCAAGTTTAGTTCCCAAATTCTTTTGGAATTTTTTTTTTTCAAAATTTATATTTTTAAAGTTTTTTAGTTTAATGACACTTCCAAAAAAAGTTGCTCAAAACTTCATTTGGAAGTTATGGTCAAAAAACTTCAAAATGCTCTATTTTTCTAAAAATCGTGTTTTTGAATTTAAAACACCAACAATTTATATTTTCTGTAATTTTTTTTTCTTTTAGAAATGGTAATAATTATACGCTTAACATCTTGGTAAAATTCAGTATTCACCTATTGAACTTAATTTTTATTTTATTGTTTATAAACTACGTAAAACTTAATTATAATGTTATTTCAATCATTTGCATATTAAAATAAATTAAAATTGATTTTTCGGACTTTTTCATTTGGTGTGTAATAACATAAAGAAGTTGTTGGTGAAACTAATATTTTTTCAATATTTTTGAGCTATTTGAACGAAAACGCCAAGGGGCTGTTTCTTTGGAAATAATTGAAAAATTGTAGTCTTGGACGCTAATTGCCAAACATAACACATTAAAATGCGTCATAGACATCCTTTCAAAGTCTCAAGTTATGTTTGAAATCTAATTGCATTAACGGATATACATGGAGATGTCGAGATTAATCCGAGAATTCACATCAAAAGAAGTAAGTAAGAAAAATAAAATAGTGTTAAATAAACTATATTTTTCCAAATGTAAAATGTGATGTTTATGTATCCATAAAAAAGATACATTTTTCCACTATTTTTTCCATACAAAAATAATTTAGTTAGTTAATTCTAATTTCATCAAAAACTTCTTTATATTAAGTCCAAATATCAATTTTGATTTACTTTAATATGCAAAAGATTTAAATAACATTATAATTAAGTTTTACGTGGTTTTTTTAACAATCACATAAAAATTAAGTACGATAGGTGAATTCTGCTTTCACCAAAATGTTAAGCATATAATTGTTATCATTTCTAAATGAAAAAAAAAATCCAGAAAATATATATTTTTGGTATTTTAAACTTAAAAACATAGTTTTTAGAAAACATGGAGCATTTTAAAGTTTTTGACCATAACTTACAAATGAAGTTTGAACGTTTTTTTTCCAAACAAATTAAGACAAATTTGTCAAATCAAATAAAACATGTAAAAACACACATTTTGGAAAAAAATCGCTTGGGAGCTTAACTTTATTCGTTCTGTTTGTGTATTTTAAGTCCAAACGTCATATAAATAATATCAATAAATAAGGCAAGTGGTTATAAAAGGAGGTAGAATTTTTGGCGCTATAACCCCACTAGTTTTTTTTTTGTATGGGAATCTGTTAAAGGTAACAATTGAATTAAAAAGTGTATTCCCTGAAATCAGATGTATTTTGGGCCCTGCCATGGAGATATATCCATTGTAATATCTTTGGAAATAATAAAAATAATCAAATTCTATTTATATATATATATATATATATATTATTCACAGGGATATAAGGACTACAAATATTTATATTTTAATTGATTTTTATGTTTTGGTAAAAATTAAAAATAATAACTATTAATTTTATTGTTTTTAAACAAATTTGAAGATCTTATAAAGTTTATTTTATTAAAAATTTTGTAGTAAAAACTTTTTATTTTCATTAAATCCGTGATTTTTAATTGATTTTTTAAAAAATTTTACAAATTTCAGAAAAAAAAGTGTACATTCGATAAGTTATGATAATAATAACCAATTAGCAAATACAAATTCGATTACAGCCTGCAGTATAATTTAGTTTCTTTTTTTGAATTTAATGAAAATAAAAGTTAAAACCTCACAATGTACAGAAAAATAAACTCTAAAAAATGGCTATCTTCAAATTTTTCAAAAATAAAATAAAAAGTTATTGTTTTAAGTTTTTTACTGAAACATACAAATTTAAGTAATTCAAACGTAAATATTTTTACTTTTTATCCTTGCGAACAATATAAAAAACAGAATTTATTATCTTTATTATCTCAGGTAAGATTTGAATAAATATTTCCTCGTAGGATACTGTATAATATTGTAAACCACATATTGAATTTAATATACCAACCTTTAGTTAAATTATATTAATTTTATTGACAAACTATTCAACAGAACAATTAACAATGGATTTTGGTGGTGAATTTTTTAATTTTAATTTTAATTTTATTTTATTTAATCTAACAAAGAATACAAATTATTTAAACAGCTGGTAACTAAAAGTGATTTTTAATAACGTATACAGATAGCAATTCTATATTTTAAACCGCTTATAAATGCTTGTAAATGCAATATATTTTCAATATATTTTTTTTTTTTAATAGGTTACGTTACCCCTTTGAATTGTGCAAAATTTGCTTTCCTCAATTTATGTAAGAAAAATAATTAATGATAATACCTATGAATATAAATATATAATAATATAATAATTGTTTATTATTTGTATTTAATGAAATCATTAAAATACTTTAAATTAAGTTCAAATTAATTGTATAAAATATTCTACTTAAAACATAAATAAATAAACATAAATCATTTAATGCGAGTAGTCTCAATAGATATATGTTAATGGTAATCAATAGTTATAATGATCATACAGGTAAAAATGCCTAACCACCCATTGCAATATCTCCTAAGAAAATAAAAATAATCAAATACATGTATTTTTCATATTACTTTCAGGGATAAGATCAACATAAATTGATATTTGAATTAAATTTGTAGTTAAAGTAAAATAGCTAATTTATAGAGTTTATTCTTCTGAAAATTAAGACATCAAATTTTTATTTTCATTAAATTCGTAACTTGTAATCATTTTTTAAGTTCAGAAAAAAAAATGTATTGCCAATTAGCCATGATAATAATAAATAATAATCAATTAGCGCATGTGATTACGGCCTACATATTATATATATCATTATTATAATTATAGGTACCTACTTATTAAAACTAGGTAATGCATTTAATGAAATTAAAAATTGATAAGTAAACATTTTCAGACGAATAAACTTCAAATTTTTCAAAAATAATAAAAAAAGATTTTTTTAAATTTTTTACCCAAACATAAAAAAATAAATGCAGTATGAATATTTGTAGTATTTATACCTGTTGATAATATATAAAACACTGAAATGATTATTTTTATTATCTCCGAAGAAATTACAATAGGTATATATTTATGGAACACTCTGTAGAAGTATGAGTTGGGATGAAAATGTATTAAATTATTCGAGGGCGAGAGAATATATTCGATATGCTTCAGCACTAATTTTGTTACAATCATATAACATATTTATTATTTTTTTATTTCTTTGTGAATACTTTTATAATAACATATCAACTTTTTATATGCAAAATATTTTGTAAGTAAATTATGTTTACTAATAATCATACACAGGTTGTTGATTGTCAAAATCACAAAAGAGGTTTAGATGGATTTCGGTAGTTATCGCGAAATTGACTTTAAAATAGACACTATAAAAGTCTTAACTCTCAGGGATATAATGAAAATTATGTTTTTAAAAATCATGAATATTTCGTGCATACGCAAATTAGCTCAGATAACGTGTAATTGTCGACAATGCATCTTCGATCATACCTACACAGTACCTATATACATATTGAGGTATAATTAATATTTTTCAGTATATAAAAAAAATCAATCGTCATTAGTAATACTTTCTAATTAAATTTAAAAATAACCAATATACTGCATAATTCAATAGAACTTATCATCGTAATATTAAGATAATATGATATTTACCATTGATACGGCCACCTACGGTACAAGAAATATACGTTATATAAAATAATGTGTATTTATAACTTTCATACTTAAATATAAAATTAATCGACTATATTATATATTATAGCGTTTAATGAACTGAAGGGTTAGTTTATTTTTATAAAACTATTATTCATTATGAAATATATAATATTTAAAATATGAATTATTTGAAAATACGCTTATATTATGTTTATTATTTTTAGATATTTCAAAAAAATATGCAACTTATCTTTTCAATTACATAGAAAAAAGTACGTTCTATTTAAGTATAGCATAAGCTATTTTATGTTGTCCATGTTTGTGTATCTTTCTGCTTTCTGCACTTCATTTCTATCTTTCATACGGTTGCGAACATTGTAATACTATTTTTACAAACGATTAGCTGGTTCTAAAGAAGGTCCTCATTGATTTTCAAACCAATCGGTGAAAAATTAAAGTTATTTTATTCATTGGGAAATTACACTACTTCGATACTCCGGCTTATACTAACTAATATAGTAATAATAGTGTATTTGTATTTTTATATTGTTAAACTCACAATTGCTCCGATTTTTACGTGTAAAAATGTTTCCAAAAGGAAATTTCACTAGAGAGATACGTTAGAGAGGCCATTTTTGGATTTTCCTCGGAGTTTTCTCAGCAAATGTAAAAAGCTAAGAAAAACATAGAAAAACTGAAAAAAACGTAGGAAATCGGTTAAACATTAAACAAATATTATTAAAGAAAAATGAAGGTAATATTTGTTTAACTAATACCTACATTTCTTATATTTTCCCGTTTTTCCTCAGTTTTATTTATCGTTTTTCAAATTTGATGAGAAAACTCTTAAACAAATCGAAAAGTGACATCCATAAAGTACCTCCCCACACTGATTTCCTTTTAAAAAAGGTGCTTCACTTAAAAACATCGGAGCAAGATTTCTGGTAGAAAAATTGCGCAGATAAAAAAATAAACATCTTTGTAAAACCATAAAATTTTTACTCCTCTCAGAATCTAATATATTACAGTCTTATTTTTCTATGCACAACTTTTCTACCAGCAATTTTGCTCCAATTTATAATCATAGTAATTTTTCTAAAACGTAATTTGACTGGGGAGGTACTTTAGAATGGTCATTTTTTGATTTTCTCACTAGTTTTCCCAATATATGGGAAATCCGGGGAAAAGTCAAGAGAAAATCATATGAAAACGGGAAAATAGGTACAATATTGAACAAATACTTTTAAAGAAAATATATATTGCCTATGTATTTATTTTACCATGATATAACTTATATTTTGTTGAGAATGCAATTACACTATCAACTAAACTCTGCTCAAAATCTTTTTTTTCGTTAACAATGGTTGCTAACAAATATTCATTTAATTACCTATAACAGTAACTGCACCCGTCCTCCCCTTTATCCTAAGACAGCTTTTTTATTTTTTCATTAACTATAGACGATATGACAATACCAGAGACACATTGTGATGTTCTAGCAGGTCAGTAAAAATTAAATTAATTTTTGTAATTCATCATTGTTTTTTTTTTTATTATTATAAAAATAAATAGTACAATATGATAGTACGTGTTCCTTTATTACTTACTCATACCTAAACAGGTACTGGCTACTATTCCAATTATAATTTATATTCTATAACTGCTTTATATAAATATAAGGTAGCTAACCAAAGTATTAAGTAGGTATAATGTAGACAATACAGGTAATATATGATTTATAAATAATTTAAATATTGTGTTTAATGTTTTTTTTTTTTTATTTCAGGGGAACTTTCTAATAATCCTCAATACTTCGAAAAATATAAATCAGGTAAGTTCATTCTACAACAGTCTTGAATCATGGCGACTCTAGTATACCTAGTATACATACGCAAAAGATTAAAATATGAAACCGTAATTTAATGTAATTATGTACACAAAACATATAACTTATCTAATTGTTTGAATTTAAAAAGTGTATATAGTTAAAAATTTAAAAAATATATTTAATTATTTTGTTTTATACCTATATAAAATTGTAACCATGTTTACTGTGACGTAGATACTCATATACATTTGATCTAATGAGTTAAACTAGATAAATTAGGTTTTCAATGGCATACCAAGTCAAGTCAATGTCGGCGTTTGGTATTATGAGGCCTTCTACGAGGCCTAAATCATAGGTGCTCAGTGGGAAAAGGGAGGCATATGCCACCTGACTTTTTGGAATTAAATAAAGGCATATATGTAGCGATCGTGTGAAAAAAGTTACCATTTTAAACCTGTTATTCCCTATACAAATTCTACAAAGTGTTTATGCCTATGTATTTTATAATAAGGGCTATGAATTTATAGAAGTGCATTTTAAGATTCTGAGTGAAGCAAAAAAGCATATGATTATACAAAGATGTTTATTTTTTTTTTTAATCTGTGCGCAACTTTTCTACCAGAAGACTTGCTCGGATTTTTTAGTGTTGCACCTTTTCTGAAAGGAAATCGGTGTGGGGAGGTACTTTATGGAAGTCAATTTTCTCAGGGGATTTCTCATCAGATTTGAAAAACCGAAAAAAATGTAGGAAAACCGAGAAAAACGTAGAAAAACCGGGTTAATCGGTACAACATTAAACAAATATTATTAAAGGAAATATATAAAGCCTATTTAATAATTTTACTATAAAATGACATATATATTGTTGACAAAGCATCAACTATCTCCGCTCAAATCGTTTTTTCGTAAGCAATGGTTTATTATTGCTTACAGGTATACATTAAATTAACAATGGCTGCACCCGTCCCCATTATCCTAGGACGTCTTTTTATTTTTAGCTGATTATGTAACGCAGCTTAATAACTTAGCTAAATACTATATAACAACAAATTCATATATGAAACTTTTATTTTGCATTTTTTGGACTTTTTATTTAGTCATATTTTCCTTTATTAGTTCATTTTCCGGTATTTTTAATCAGATTCCAGCAATTACCATCTTTACATAACATTTTTTTTATTTTACATTCAATTCTCGTCTACATTACAACAAATTTTGGACTTATACCACATGCAATTACACAATTAGAAAGAGGTATTTTTTATTTTTTTATTTTTGTTTCAAGTATTTGCTGTATTTAGATATTAATTTTTTTTAGGCAAAACCTTGGCAAAAAGTATAAGTTTTAGAAGCAAAACAAAAGTTAAAGGAAGCTAATGGTGAAGTAGCGAAATAGATTTTAGAAAAGTGCAATCGTGTTTTTTCAAAGAATAATGGATGAGCAGAACTTCAAAAAGTCAATAGTATTCATAATAGCACTACACTAAATTTAAATGTGGAACAGTATGATTCAAATGATTTAGTTTATATGAAATGTGCACCGATTACATCGGTTGACGTGAAAAGGTCTTTTTCTATGTACAAAAATATATTAGCATCCAATAGAATGAGTTTTAATGAAAGTAACTTGACTAAATATATGGTAGGAAATTCCTTTTTTAATATTTAATTTTATGTGTAATTAAAATTTGTATTTTTAGAATTAAATTAATAAATGCTCTTTTTGCTTTTTTAGCTACTTAAAATGCTTTTTTAAGGATTTATTTTGCTACAAAATCCGAGCCCTATTGATAAGCAACGAGTTTCGTTATCTAGTTATGTACTCTATCGGCAGCAGTTCTCAACCGCTGGCTATCTTTAATTAAATTATTACGAAATATACTATTTATACAATTACAGTCCACTAAATATAAGCGTTTTTTAAGTCGCTAGACTGCCCACGTCCCAACAAAATTTATTAAGAAAAATATAAGACACAAACAAGTTTAAAAAGACGTCCTAGGATAATAGGGACGTGTGAAGCCACTGTTATACATAATTTAATGTATACCTGCAAGCAACGATAAATCAATGCTTACGAAAAAATGATTCTGAGAGGTGTTCAGTTAATAGTGATGCTTTTTTAACAATATGTATGCCATATTATAGTAAAATAATTAAGCAGGTTTTTAGAGAAATTGCTATCATTAATAAGTTGAAGCGAAATTGCTGGTAGAAAAATTGTTCACAGAGAAAAAAATCATCTTTTAAAACCATAAGCTTCTTCGCTCTACTTAGAATCAACTACAACTACTCCTCTACACTATTGTGTCATTTAATAATGAATAAGTCACAATTTATTAGGTAATAATTAACTAGCCTAAGCATGTTTTGATATTCAGTTTCCTGTCAATCACAAGACACGAAAATTGAATAATAATTATGAATTTATTAAAATTAATAACATTACATTTTTAAATTTAGTTTGCTTAAGTAAGTTAATTGCAATTAAATAAACTATATACTTAATAACCAGTCCAGTGGCGTAGCCAGTAGGGAGGAACTTTAGTTGTTGTAACCCCCCTCCTCATCCTTTGCTATTTTTTTTTTATCTATAAGTTAGGTTAAGCAATTTGTCATCTACTCATTCAACCCCTTAGACCTTCCGAAAAAAACCCCTCAATGATATATCCTGGCTACATGACTAATAACTATCTAGGTAGGTATCTATAACTTATATTATTTCAATTTAGATGAAATATTAGCAAAAGGATTCAATCGTAAGTAACAACTAATGAAGAAATAAATAAATAACAGGAAATATTACTAATCCATCATCTGATAATGAAAAATTAAGCAAATGACTATCACACGTGATAGGACTGTCCTAGTTTTTGCTACACGATAGATGTACATGGCAATCATTTGCTAATTTTAATTACTAAATGACCACTCGCGATAGAACGAAGGAACAAAACTCATATTATATTTTTATATTATTTAGGTACCGATGGAAACCAATGTTTTGAATTGGCTTTTAAGTTTAGAAGTACGTATAATAAATAGAAAATAATACAATAACTACGTAAGTAATATAGTAGTTTTATTTAAAGTTAAAATTCCATCCAAAATCGTAAAAACGAAATTTTAAACTATATTTAACTGAACTTTGCTTAGAATCATTTTTTATTAGCAATAGTTTATTACTGAGTACAGATATAAATTAAATAATTAGTTTTATCCTAGCTTCCCGACCTACCTCAGTGGCACACTTATCTGTCTATTATCACATCTTATATTCCTTTGTTAATTGTGTACCAACTCTTAATATTTATATTTAGAAGTAAAATCAATGGCTAAAACAAGTAAGTTAATTTAACTAGATATTAAAAATAAAAAATATATAACACGGAGTCCTCAATATAAACTTATTAATCAGAATTGATTAAAAATGTATCAATGAATTTCGAATGTTACTGGAAAACAACCACTCCGAAATCAAATTAATATAAATCCATATTAAATTATTTGTATAGGTTTTTTGTGGGATTTTTGCGTTTCTTTAATCCCTAATGAACAATTTGAAAGTAAGTATACACAATTTATATCTTAAATTACCTATGAGAAAATGTCACCAGTGCACCACGTCTTTTTAAATTAGCGTATGATTGCTAATAAAAACTTACTACTTATTTATATAGAATAATAAATAATTGTATACTGTGATCAATATATCATTGTAAATATAGATAATATTATAATGTGGTTTCTATAATGAATAGTTATAACACCCAAGTATATTTTATAATTTCAGTACTTTAATAAAAATGAACATATTAATTAATATTTTTTTTTTACCTTAGTATGCATGATCATCATTTTAGATTCTTAGCGAAGCGAGGAATGTATTAGTTTTATGATGATGTACATTTTAAACTCGGAGCGTAGCGTAGGGTTATTAGTTTTACGATAAATGTGCTTTTTTTTTTTGTCTGAAAACATCTTTTTGAAAAGAAATTTTGTTCCGATGCATAGCACATTTTTTGAAAGAAAATGTGTAGCCAGGCATTATATGAATGCTGACATAACCCTAATAGCAGTTATTTTTTTAATTTTATAAGGAGTTTTCGAAATAATCAGGCAAAACCCGAAGGAAAATTATAGGTTAATTGGCCAATATTTACAGCATTCTGCGGCGTTACCGTTTTCATTGATTTTAACATTGAGTTTAAACAATGTTTTCCACCAGAAATATTAGAAAAACAACAAATATCTTTTATGGTAAATTGTTTAACTAGTGAGTGAGTAAGAAAGTTGTTTTCTGATTTTCTCTGTAGTTTATTTAAAAATGTAGCAAAACCGAAAAATACATAGAAATTACGTGAAATTTTACGAAAATAATTCTGTTATTATTTTAAATTTTGTTTTTGTAATGTAATTTAGTTTAAAATATTCATAAGGACTTGCAATTTTGACGGTACACTTAAATTTGTTATTCTAGACGTGATAAAATGTTCAAAATATTTGAGCCATTTCTGAACTATTTATAGACACTTTAATTTTGCTAGTTCTTTATATAATTTTTATTCAGTAGGTATTCTATGGATAATGTTGTTAGACTAAACAGAACAATTGATAATTTGACAATTTGACAGGATGTTAATTACAACTCGTACTTGGTTGGCAAAAAAAAAAAAAATTAAGTGTAATAATGTATTTTTAATAAGAGTTTAAAATCATAATAATAATAATCGTAAATATTACTGCCTTTTAAAATATGGATAACTGACTTCACTTCGAATCTTTTTTCGTTACCAATGGTTAATCGTTGCTTACAGGTGTAAATTAAATAAATTTGTATATCCTATATCTTCCCTATTTCCAACCAACAATAGTGGAGCACCAGTGACTAAAACTTACATACCTTATCAATATATAGACATATTGATAAATTAATTAAATTTTTAACTTCTCATAAAATGATTTATAAGTGACTATTATTATCTATACGTACTACTACATTATTATTTTGATGATTATACATAAATATCATATATTTTTAAATATCAATAATAACAATATTAATTTTAAATGCTATAGAATATAGATTTACGTATTTATCTGTGACTTAGTGCAAGAAGGACCAAAGTAAAAAAGACGGGCATACATCACACTACGGGTAGGCTACTGTTATAAATAAGAAGTTGAAAAGGTAGGAAATAAAGAAGAATTTAATTTGTATCTATAAGCAAAAACAAACCATTGCTAATGAAAAATGATACGGAGCGAAGTTCAGTTATACGAGTACATGTTTTCAGAGTAATATTTATGGTTTTTGTCAAAATTCTATATTAAAATTCTTAAAAAAAAAAATAATACTGCATTAAATTCTATTTATTTTTTTTTACTACAAAGTAAAACTTATAATGAACCTCCTAAAAATATTTAATTTTCAAACATTTTTGTTTAGCCTTACGATTGTATTCATAGAACACCTACCAAATATAAATTACGTAGAAACTCACAAAATTAAAATGTCTCCTATAAGTCTAATAGCTCAAAAATGGTTAAAATATTTTTTAAATTACTAGAAAAGGCAATATTTAGATAACTATCTGTCAAAATGTCAAGTCTACATATATTTTTTTAATGAATTACAACAAAAAAAGGATGCGGGCATACTACACAGTTCGCACGACATTTGAGTCAAAGTTGTAGGTGAGATGTTGGGAAGGTAGGATACAGAGAGGAATTTAATTTATACCTGTACTCAACGATAAAACATTGCGAAATACAATTTGAAACAAAGTTTCTTTTATACATGCAAATTAATTTTCTAGTACTTCCTACGGCTTTTTTTTTTATTAATTATAAAAAAAACTACATGGAAAATAAAAGACGTCTTTCTTACTTGTCAACTAGATTAAAAATTCAACAATGATCGTTTTTTTATCAGAGCAATATAAGAAAAAATATGCCGTAAAATAAAGAATCGTGACGCCGTAAATTTATCATTACAATTTATCATATCATTACAATTGTTTATTTTTCTTTATTTTTTTGATTTTTTTCCAACTATAATCAAAACCGCATGGGAAATCAAAAGATGACCTTAAAGTACCAACTACTTAAAATTTCCTATCAGAAAAAATGCTAGACTTAATACATTGGAACAATATTTCTAGTAGAAATGTACACAGTATAGGACAAATAAACAAAATGGTAAAACCAATACTACCAAGCCACAAATACATGGGAGATTGTAAACTGCGGTAAAAACAAATTTAACAATACATAAACTGCGGCAAAATCGATAATATATATTATATAAACTGCGGCATTTTATATTGTATGCTTTTTAGTTGTGTACTATAATTTTAGCTATATTATAAGTTTAGTTAAATAATAATGTTTTTTCTATTCCATAGAATTTTAAAATCTCTTTTTTTGTGTTTACCCAGGTACTTAAAGAAACTCCAATTGACTATGTACGCACCAAAAAAATAAAATAAAAATGTGTGTCGTTACTCAGTTTTGACGGGATACACCATCGACCCATAAGAATACGTACATGTTACAAGATAGCGTACAAACGTTATAGATTATTGATCATCTGTGCCATTCTATATGGCCGTTTACGTTTTTGTAATAAAAAATTATTTTTCCTATGTATAGCGAAAAAAACGAACATTATAGCATGCGTAGCTTTCTGTGTGGCCGCAGCTTTATCGATATGTATATAATATAATATATACCCAATAAGTATATGAAATAAATTGCTGCAATTTATATTTATTATATCTTATTAGTTTTTCCGCAGTTTGTAAAATGTTAAATTTGTTTTTGCCGCAGTTTACATATTGTGTTTTAGAAAAAGGGAAATTTTCTCGTAGTTTACATACAGCCAAATACATATTTTTTTTTCATTTCATTTTGGGTTATAATCAGAATGTATTTGGATAAAACTGAATTTATTAAATTGTATCCAATAATAATATCAATGCATATCAAATAAAATACAATATAATTTTTGAAGATCTAATATTTGAATAGGTTTACACGAAGCACTAGACATATACCATTGGTGTGAAAATGAAAATCTAATCAACAAATGAAACATATATAATTCAATGGCAAAATTTATATTTCAATGCGGGAAATTCAAAAAAAATTAGTTACCTAATTAAGTTATGTTTATTATTTATTTTGTTTCTAAATCGTTATGTTATAATTTAAATAATATATCTCTGTATATTTTAAGGTATCTCAGTAATTATATTAAAAATATAATTCAATAAAAAATATGTACCTATATATAATTGTATTATTTAATTATTATTTTATTTTATTATACCTACTATAATATTATCATTGGCCCTGACCAACATAATAAGCTATTATGAGGAGGTACTTTAGGGAGAGTTTTCTCATCAAATGCGAGAAACATTCATAATAATTGACAACATCTGTCTTTACATACAATTATCACAACAAAAACAATAAAGATTTATTTTATTCTTATTAATATTATTTTATTGTTTTATAACATAGTAAAATATGCACACGGGAGTATTGTGTATACAGACTGTAAAATTTAAATAAATTTAATACAACTAATGTTTATTATCATTTACGCAACAAAAGGTATAAATTCAGTGTCGGCCTGGACATGGCCGCTAGGACGAGAACGTTGCCGTGATCTCTAGTTGTGCTAACGTCTGGGAGCATCTCAGGCAGTGGCGGCGCCAAAGGTGGGCCAGGGCGGACCAGGGCGGGCCATGGCACGCCTTGGAAACCTCTGGCCCGCTTAAAATTTTTAATTTAATTTAATAGTTTGAATTTTAATTTTTAAGTATTGTTACGTAAATAAAACATACCTGTAATTTCGGGGTCTGGGTTTTCCTAAATTATACACACGTCACACATAGCTATACTAAAGATTGTTTACGTTTTATAATTGGTGCGGTTCGAGAAAACGGTTTAAGCCTTGGTTTCCCACAATCGCGCATCCGTGATTGCGCGATGCGCGATGCGTAATGGAAGTGTTTTGCTATGACGCGTGTTTACGAGTGCGTGGTTTTCGTCAGTTGATATTTAGTAGTACATCAAAATGGACGTGGTTATGATTTTTAATATTTTGGAGGACGAAGCAGATGAAGAACTATTGCCACTTGCGAATCATTTGCGTAATGAAAATGATGAAATGTTTAGTCAACGGAGCAGGGAGGAGGGTTGTTTCAGTACTTTAATTCAAATGCGCCTAATTGACAATGAAACTAGATTCAGAGAACATTCTAGAGTGTCATTTGAATTATTTAATTATATAATTCGTGCTATTAAAGAAGATATATGTAGGCGTCCAAGTAATCGGATTAAGAAACCAATATCACCGGAAGAAAAACATGTAATAAAATATAAATAACATATTGAAAAATATTTTAATAATAATTAAAAAATTTAATATTTTAACAATAAGTACCTATATAAAATAATGCAATCCCGCACTGCGTGTCACGCAAAAGTTGCCCTCGTAGCGACTACTGCGCGATTGGAAGTGCGTGAATCGACAATCGCGCACGTGAATTATTAATAAACACAAACACTATTTTTTGTTGTTTCAACTTTCGCGTGATCACGCAATCACGGATGCGCGATTGTAGGAAACCAAGGCTTTAGACGGGATTACGTCAGTCAATCTTATTTATTGTATAATTCTAATTTTAAATAATTCTGAAATATGACCGTAAGATACATAAATACATATTAATACATGCAATATACATTGACAAGTACTTATATATTATGTCCTTGTTATGATTTGCTAATGTATTAATATGTTTTAAATTTTATAACTTTGAAATCTAAATTTGTTAGATTTATATTATTATGTTGTTTAAATAAAGATGAATATAAAATAAATAAATAAAAATGTATTGGATTGCCATTTTATTTATTTACTTACATACCCACCGAAACACTAGCCACTGAGACACTGTAACGCAACTACCATTTTTCAAGGTGGGGAGGAGGTAAAAGACTTTAGGAGATTAAATAAACAATTTTTTATTACAAAGGTAATATACTATGTGCGTACATTATTATGTGATATTTATTGAATAGGTATATAAATAATTTTATATATACTCCGAATAATATCTGTATGCGTAGTTACCTTTATATATATTATGAGGTATAAGGGGAAGTGGATGGATCATTGTATAAATGCTTTGCTTAGGGCTTAAAATATGCTCGCCACACCACTGATTGGAGTAGGTATTCTTGAAATTAAATGTATTTATACCTAATGACAAATTTAGAATAAAATATATTCATGGTTACGAATATATTTTCTCATAAAATAATTTTTTTCAATCACAACATATTAATATTGAATATTGATAACACCTACAATATTCAAAAACACGTATTTCGGTATAACTTAGTATAGGTAGATATTTTAAGTAAACATAAATAAATTGTGAATGCGAAGAAAGGTAGGGTACTCATTAATACGTTTCATATAAATTGCACACAAACTACATTCAACCAATGTATAATTTATAGAATATTATATTTTTTAATAACAATAAAATTAAAAATCTACTATTCCATACTTAATAATAGATTACCATAACATAATATACAATTACTTATATTGTTTATGTATTTTGATACCGTGCAAATTAAGTTTGATAAAAAAAAAATGTTCAACAATAAAATCGGTGCTATTCTATAAAAATGTTAAACTTCAGTTTCATATCCATGTACTTATCTAACTATCGCTAAATTATTGTGATAAAATCACAAAAAACATTTTTGTTACATTGATTACAAAATTATTGTAGTATTCTGAAAGTTCTATGAAATTATCTGCATTTACATATTTTAAATGTATTAAAATAAATTCATGAGATTAAATTGCAATTGATGCCACGGTATATGCCTAAATAATAATACCTATGTCTAAAAATGTTGAATATGTACCCTTATCGAACATTTTGCAATATTATAATGAAATTATCAAGATCAATTTTCGGAACCACTGGCAACCACTGACGGTTTCAAAAAAAAATGGTGACACTTATTAATCTGTGTTTATATCACGATTTCAAATATAGTCGCCCAACGGACTATGAAATTGTGACTACAACTTATATTACTCGGATGATAAAACAGTACTGTAGCGCTTGTAGACCGCAGTGGAATATTTATGTACTATATCATATCACTAACTATCGCCAATTTTAAATCATTGTTTATTGATTATGATTTACGACTATATTAATGATTAAAACTTCAGTTAAAACATTAAAACATTCAATTATCAAACAATTTCAGTAAACAATATCACCACCAGAACAGTTTGCTCACTAAACTAGTAACCAGGTTACTCAAAAGTCAAAACTACATCGCCAAAACACCATTCCTGGAAGATTTTGAACACTTCACTAGAAGTTGTTCGGTAGAAAATTAAATTTTAATAAGTATTTGTTTTATTTTATTCATTTTTGATTGGTGCATTCGTAAAATTAATAATTGTCTTATTTAGGTAATTGTTGGTGTTAAACATTTGTTGCGATGGATCTCAATAATACTGTTTCAACAATAAACCTAGGAACTTGCTTAGCTGAAAATCAAGTTAGTGACCATAAGTGTTCCCTGTTTGATAAAAATCTACGTAGAATTAATAATAATCTTCAGTATGTAAATGAATATTACATTCCTAAACACGAAATTCCCGTCGAGAATCAGCAAAAAGTCAGAGAAAATATAATTGTACCAAAAGACCAAAAAGAACAGTCTATACATTTCCATAACGAATTTTACAAAATCAAAATGGATGAAATTGAATTTATAAGAAAAACACACGTAAAACAAATATTAAGCCAAAAAGCCAACATCTGGGAACAAAAACGAAGAGAATTTATGAAGAATGTGCCGAAAAATATAATTAAAGAATCTGGAGGTTTGTTAATTGAAACTCAAAATATTGAAAAAAATCATAATATAGAACTGCAGAACACTAATAGTGATCAATACAAAACTACATTACTGGAAGAACAAAAAAAATCAGAACAAAAAGCAAGAAGTATTCAATTTTTATCATTACTTAAAACTGGCTGTGATTTATTAAATATCATGCACAATTATAAAAATGACATGATACCACAATTTCTTGATAATTACACAACAATTGAAAACGAAATTCACAGATTTAAAAATCTATCTGAAAATTGTAACACATATGATCTGTTAAAACTCAATAAAACAGTACAAATTATTAAAATGCTTCACATAGAATTTATGGAATTTTTATCAAAAGCTGAAAATAATACATTACCAACTACTAATGTTACTTCAGTAGCTGAAAATAATACATTATTACCAATTACTAATGTTACATCAGTAGCTGAAAATAATTCATTACTACCAACTACTAATGTTACATCAGTAGCTGAAAATAATACATTATTACCAACAAATAGTTGTGTATCAATAGCCGAAAATGATGCATTATTAACAACTTCTGATGATAATAATCAAAAGAATACAGCAATTTCAAATTTTACATTCAAAATAAATGCAAACAAATCAAATAAAAATTTAAAAAACAATGATCTTAATATCAATCAAGAATCAAATGAAATAAAAAACAATGGGTCAAACAATTTTCCATTAAAAGAGAAAGAAAGTGACGAATTACATACATTTAAATTTAAAACTAATGAAAATATTTCCAATACAGATATTTCAAATTTTTGTTTTAAAATTAAAAACAATAAACAAGAAGCAACTACGACCAATACCAGCTATAATTTTGAACGCGAATATGAAAAATACCTGGTTAACCATTTTGCAATACAGAAATATCTGACAAATTATACAAATTTATATTTGCCTTTTCTTCATGATGATAATCAAAAAACACTAAAACAAGAACTAACAAAAGCAATTAATACACCTATCAATAGTATATCTTCAGTTTCTTCATGGCATATGAAAGACAAATTTGAAAAACTAAATGCTTTACTAATGTGTAAAACTGTAAAAACTGGCAATTCTTCGGTATCAGCAAATAGCCATCAGTGTGCATTAGCATTTTGTAAAGATACGCTTGCAAAAAAAATTATAAATATCGGAGAACAGGTGGTTAGTGTAAAAACAGAAACTGCTTTTGAAGTAGCATCTATTGTTACAGAACTTTGGCAAGTTCATCAAGATTTTGGTATGTTACTGTATGCTAGATTTAAACAAAAATGTCCGTGCCTTATCCCTTTGAATGCTGCAAAAGTAAACAATGAAACTGATGAGGAATATTATAAATCATTGGGTTATAATTATACGGATGGAGTTGTTGAACAACAAGATAAATATGTTAAAAGAATGACTGGTATCATAAGATTATTTGCAGCGATTATAGTAACCGAAACTAAGAGTGGCAAAGCATTAGGTATTGGACAAGCATGGATGATCATTGCAACAACGTTACATTTAGTTCCTCAGTTAGACATCACAGCTGTTTTATTACACGAGATGCTGTTAATTACCGGTTATCATCTAGGAAAAGTGTATGGCAACCAATTTATCAAAATGTTACAATATATCAATAGTGATTACATGAAAAAGATTGATGAAATTACACCAATTGGTTGTGGTGGTCCAGTACAAAGATTGAAAACATTTGTCTCTAAAGCTATTGAGGTAAGTTATATCGATAAACCTAAAAGTATATTGCCGTATAATTTTTGGTAAATACAACAAGGGAATGTTAATATTATTAATACAAAATGTATAATATTTGTATGTATACTTATTGATTAGGTAATAATAATTATAACTGTTAATAGTAAATTAGTAATATGTAATTTTTAGAACCTAATAAACATTAAGTTAAAATAAACTAATTTAATTTAATTCAACAATACTGAGGCATAATATTAAATCTTTCCATCCTGATTAAAGGATTCCTAATAGATTTAACAACAAATTTTCTACAATATGTAGAAACTTGAAATTATTGTTTATTCTATTTGTATTATGATTTTTTTAAAAAAATTTTTTTTTTTATTGTAGAAACTTGAAATTATTGTTTATTCATTTTGCCAATATTTTTGTTATTTTTTAATTTTTAAAAAATATATATTATATAAGTAAGATATGAATCGTCTAAAAATGTATTTATCTATGAAAAAGTTTGTAATATCAAATTGTAAATTTATACTTTACACATAGTTATTTTGTTTTTATATAATTAAACTATGCTGTCCTAAGAAAAAATGATATAAATCAAAAATAAAAAGAAGATTATACTGTATTACGTTTAACATCATAGTTTCTAGTAAACTATTAATTATTCTCATTTTATTTGAAACGATATATGTGTTTAATGTCTGTGTTTATTTTTGTTACTTTTAATTGCTCGAATTAGTGGCATGAATTTTTTTTTTTGTAGAAATACCATTTTTATGTTTATATAACTATTCTACAATTTGTTTAATGTTACTGTGTGTAACTAGATGTTATGAAAAAATCATAGATATTAAATTTATTGCAAATACAAGCTGTGATTTTTTTTACAAATGCGTCTCACAACACCTTTGATGCTTTTGTTGCGGTTGCATGGATGGAAATATTATTGCCTCCTCGAACTTGATACACATAGATGAATACCTGTGTAAGAGAAATAAATTGATTTGATATATGACTGTTTGAAGTTATCTTAATTGATCTGATTTTCGAATTTATCAATTATATCTGTTAATTATTATCTGTGGTCGCACATATTTTAGATTACGTGTTTAAATACACACATTTCAGTTAAAACTAATTTCGACTGACTCATTTAAACCTGCAGTAAATTTTAATTTTGACTAGTTTTTGATATATTCCATTAAATATAAATAAAACAACTATCAAATCATATAAATACTTATTTATTGTATCTCTAGTTTTTGGAATTGTATCATATTTTAAGCTATGTGTAAAAAGAATTTGATAAAAATTCAAGTGTAAATATTTGTATGTATTTGATTGTATTTAAGTTATTATGAATCCCAGTTTAAAAGAATAAAATAAATTGTTTATGTTTATTTTATTATTATATTTTTTTTTTTAGAAAAGGAAGATTGTACTATAGCTAATTTAGGTTATTTAGCTAATTAGGTCCGACACAACAATGCACCATTGTTAATTCATTAGTACAAATACAAAACAAAATTAATTGGTCTGCCACTTAAAATTACATTTTTTAATTAATTAGTATGCCTTTGCAATACAGTATATACATGTTTATTTTTTTTTAATTTATGTGGGTATACAAAATAGCCATTTTTTAAAATGGATTTCAGAAATTCAGTGGTTGAAACTTTTTTTTAGGTATAGTCTTTTACTTTCTACAACTTTTTGAATTTTTAGCAAATCATAGAAAATAAAATCCTTGCCATTTGATGTGCTTAATTACTAATTAAATATTATAATAAATTATAAACCACACTATTATTTACATTTGCAAAAACTTCAATAAACTGTAGAAAATAAAAGACCATACCTAAACAAAAGTTTCAACCAACAAAAATTTTCTAAAAATCTACTTCACAAAATATTTATTTTAAATTTTTCTGTTATTTAAATCATAGTCAAATTTTCTATTTTAAGTTCCCTCACATAATACAAAAAAAGTGTATATATTAACTGTAGTGCAGAGGCATACAAATTATTTAAAAAAAATATATTAAAAATATTGATTAGAACAAAAGTTATTTCAAGTGGCAGATCATCAAGGGACACCTGTAAATACTAATAAATTGACTTAGAAAACGAAACTAAACCTATGGGCAGACGTAGTTGATAAATGTATAAAATGTATACACTTATGCATTAAATAAAACATAACTAAAATATGGATATTGTATTTAAATTTAATTCACAGTATATAATTCAAAGAAAGATATAAACAGTAAGTAAATTGTTTTCTGAGTTTTAATAATAAATATACAAGTTCAGTGTAAACTACTTTATACTTGTTTGAAATGTATAAATACCTACAACAACATCCTGAAAATCTGGAAATTCATTACAGAATCTGATTTCGAAAGAAGTTGGGGTGCCATTAAGGAATCTATAAACAATGCAGCCAGCATGCTTAAAAATGAACCACAAATTTAAAAGAAGCCATGGTATGACAATAACTGTACAAGGATATTGTAGCAAACAAAGCAAAGCCAAACAAAACATAATCCAAAATCACCTGAGAATGTAGAAGAATATTAAGAACTCAGTAAAAGAATAAATAAGAAAATAAGAAGAATAAAGAGAGCATTCAAATAAGAAAAATGAATGTGCATAAAACAGTACTATCCCTTTATGGGCTTTTTTAATTTTAAGGGTGCAATTCTACTGTGACTTGCATTGTAAAAATAATTCACCATTATTATCAAAACATTAATAGCAAATTCATAACTGGGGCTCATAAGTTTATGCCCTAAGAAGTTTAAAAATATGTATTTATATGTACTAAAAATATGCAAAAAAAAATCATTTTTATTTTTAGAAAAAATTCAGTTTATGAAAAATTAATTATTTTACTTGTCTACAACTTTCTTTCACGGTTTGCAGGCTTATCCTGCTTATACATGCTAATGTTGTTTAGATTAAATTATTGAATTTCAAGTTATTGGTAGGTAAGTATACACCTAATATTTTGAATAATACTTTACCTTAAAAATCATACTGTGCTAATTAGTACTTATTGTATCGTTGTAACATTGGTTGAAATATCCCACTCGTAAAGTAGATTCAACGGGGGTAACTTTTCCTGTATAATTCTCAAGAAAACTTCTAAATTATGGATTGGGTAGTTTATCTAGAAGTATGTAGGTAGCTGGCATCACTTTACATAATACATGCATCTGTTATATTCACTTCTTTTTGATATGGAAGGCACAAGTAGCTATACTTTTTAATTTTCTTCTTTTGTCTTAAGAGGTTGTATACCACGTTTATGTTTATCTGAATTGACTTATTGTGTTATACTAAAACGTTTTTGACCAAATTCTGACAGACTGTCGCAAACGGCCCACACGTTTGTTTTATTTTCGGCATTGTTATAGGAAAAATAATAAATTAATAATAAACACTCAGCATAAAACACAAGAGACACAACTGACTACATAGTACATAAAAACTCTGCTACGAAATATCAAATAGCGATTTAAGGTCGTATTTTGTGATAAAAAAAAAAATTTAGTGTAAATAAGTAGAAATTTGTATTTTTAAGGATTTTACTAATTAACAAATTTTGATAAAAATCGTAAATATTGTGGCTTTTCAAAACATATACAGCTGTACTGAGTTCAAAATCGTTTTTCGTTAGCAATGATTAAATGTATTTAATGTAAATCTATACATTAAATTCCCCTCTATATATCTTCCCAAGTTCTTACCAACAACCCACCCATCATGCGAAATATGTCAGTCTTTTTTAGTTTAGTTTCATTGGCATATTATTGTTGGATAACATTAATTTTATATTGTATTATCGAACTTACTACAATAATTTAAAATAATTTGCAGATTAATGGATAACTCTAGGTTTTTCCTTTGAATCATTGAACCTCTGTGGTAAGAGGCGCGAAAATGGGGTAGCCTAACCTAACAATAATAAGGAATGGAAAATATCACTTAAAAAAAAGAGACATAGAAGTAGAAGTAAAATAGAGAATACAGAGTATGAGTATGCTGGAACGAGATAGGACTGCTAACGACAATAAGTGATGACCTAATAGGCGAGAATGAGAGTAATAAACATCAAGAATCTTTTCTATAAAAAAAAAAAAACATTATTTTTGACGGAGATGTGAAACGATGCTTATAGATATAAATGAAATACCCTTATGTATCTTACCTTCCCAACTTTCTACTTACAACAGTTGCTGCACCTATGTGTGAAGCATGTCTGTCTTTTCATATTTTTACTTGTTTGTACATATGTATATATGTATATATATATATACAGAATTATGGATATGATCAATAAACCCAAAATATTAATAAGAGTAATGATAGATTATTACTTAAAAAATTTAAAAAACCTATATGATATATTTTTAAATATTAATAAAATATTTCTACAAAGGGCTAGTAAAACAGGGGCACCAAACATTTTACAGCCTACAGGTACTGTAGATCTTAATACGGATTTGTATTCAAAACTTATAAGTCACATTTCCTTCATAATTTTCAAAGAAACAAAAATAAAATATTATCTAATTTCTACTTAACATCTAGTGTTATATTATAAAATAATAAAAAGTTTGAGCATCATTTTGTATTATTATTATTTTATTTCATTAACAGATCACAAATGCTAAAACCAACAGGAATTAGGTTGGAGCCATTCAAAGTGTAAGAATAAATAGTAGGAGAGCGACTTCTGGTGAATATCATTGACCGGCATTTATTAATATTCAATGAGAGACCAAAAGTATCAGCCTAGGTAGAGAAATTATTGAGATCATCTCGCAATCTGAAACAAACTTCAACAGTGTTAATTTTTAAGAAAATCTTCATGCTGTCTTCAAAACGGAGAAGTTGGCTATGCTTGAGGAGAGAGCGAGCACTATTAACAAACAACCAGAATAGAAGTGGGGAGATGACCACCTTGCGATACGCCAGAGGTAAAAATATATCAGATTACGTGTTGAACATATTAACCCATTGTGATCTATTAAATAAAAATGAATTGAACCAGAGTA